ACAACAAATATAGCTGGCAAAACTGGATAGCCATCTGCAGAATTAAATGAGATGAATATCTTTTACCTCGTACAAAAACCAATTCAAAATGGATCAAAGACCTTAATTTGAACTGCTGAAGATTCTAGATGAACGCGTGGTGGATACTCTTCAGGACTTCGGGGTAGGAAAATTCTAGATGAACGCGTGGTGGATACTCTTCAGGACTTCGGGGTGGGAAGATTCTAGATGAACGCGTGGTGGATACTCTTCAGGACTTCGGGGTGGGAAGATTCTAGATGAACGCATGGTGAATATTCTTCAGGACTTCGGGGTGGGAAGATTCTAGATGAACGCGTGGTGGATACTCTTCAGGACTTCGGGGTGGGAAGAACTCTTTGAGCAGAGCAGCTAATTCTAGATGAATGCGTGGTGGATACTCTTCAGGACTTCGGGGTGGGAAAATTCTAGATGAACGCGTGGTGGATACTCTTCAGGACTTCGGGGTAGGAAAATTCTAGATGAACGCGTGGTGGATACTCTTCAGGACTTCGGGGTGGGAAGATTTTAGATGAACGCATGGTGGATACTCTTCAGGACTTCGGGGTGGGAAGATTCTAGATGAACGCGTGGTGGATACTCTTCAGGACTTCGGGGTAGGAAAATTCTAGATGAACGCATGGTGAATATTCTTCAGGACTTCGGGGTGGGAAGATTCTAGATGAACGCGTGGTGGATACTCTTCAGGACTTCGGGGTAGGAAAATTCTAGATGAACGCATGGTGAATATTCTTCAGGACTTCGGGGTGGGAAGATTCTAGATGAACGCGTGGTGGATACTCTTCAGGACTTCGGGGTAGGAAAATTCTAGATGAACGCATGGTGAATATTCTTCAGGACTTCGGGGTGGGAAGATCACTGACAGCTTGCCTGGCTGCCTTGGGACACATTCGACTGAGTCCCTCCAGACTCGATGGCCTCCAGTGCGCAGCTCAAGCTATGTGTCGTCGAAAGCTTTGCTTTTCAAGGCTGTCCTAGAAATGGGAACTGGGAGTTGGAGCAAGAATTGCTCCTGGGAGATCAAGAGCACATCGGGAGGTCAGGTGAGGACCAAAGCCACAGGAGCTGACAGTAAAGAACTCCTGCCCGGATAGTGTCTGACCCATGAATGGTAAAGCAAAGTCCAAGGAATATTCTAGAAAGAATAAGGGATATAGGTGCTAGGCAGGTTTAAAGCAGAGCCATATTTCCTGTTCTTTAGTTTTAATGTTCCTTTTCCCACTGGAGAGACCAACTGAGAGCCACATGGACGCGTCCTAAAGTACACTAAGACCTGAAAGGTGGGCGCTGGGGAGCAGGAACGGGCTGACATCTGGCTTCGTGGTCTTTGTGTGTTAGGCAGCTATGAGATGGAATGCTGAGAAGCAGTTAAGCTTGCTGCACATGTGTATGTTATTATTAATGCCCCAGGGTCTGGCGGTCGCTGCTGGAAACACTGCTCTAGAACAGAGTGAAAGGTCTGCAGCCTGGACTCCCATCTCCTGAGCAACATGGGCTGCGTGTGGCCAGAATTCCGAGTCCACATCCATTTCCCAGGCTTTGGAGAGAATGGATCATTCGTTCATCCCTTCCTCGGGAGCTAGTGAAGTTTGTCACACTTGGACTGTGCTGGGGACAGGGTGTGGAGGGGAAGACTCATGTTTTCCTTAGGCTGTGGAGCTGTGGGGCCTAAACAGCCCATCTCAGAGTCTGTGAACACCTAGCATGCCATGAGGCTGGACGGGGGATGGGAATGTGGCTACAGACAGTCCTCCTGTGACTTTAATTTGTCAGCCATGGTCTATATGACACTAATTCAGTGACTTTGTCTCTATACCTAAGTTTCTTCTCCCTGAAGATAAAAGATACTTAAAATCTTTAGAGTACCTGACTTAAAACTTGGCACAGAGGGAGCCACCCAAATGAATGTCATATTTTAGTGTCAGAATCATGAGGGTAATTAATAGCCTGGGGTACCTGTTAGACTGTGATACTCCACCCTGAGTGTCAGGCCCAGACTTAACCTCTGCATTGCTCAGATGTATCTCTTAGAGTCTGGCCTTGGCTAATGACCAGCTACAGTTACCCTGGGACTCCACAGAAGGCAAACTGGTGTTCCCCCTGGTTCTGTCCAGGAGGCCAAAATCTATCCCTGGCTATAGACCTCCAGGGTCATCTAGAATCAAAAGCCTGGAATGGAAGTCTGGGGCAAGAGCTTCACAGGACTGGACTTCTCCTTGAGGACCTGAGAGGGCCTCTCAATGGATGGACTTAGCACAGAATCAATAGTAAGCACCAAGACCTATACATGTCTTTCCTAGGGCCACATTCATAAGATGGGGTCACAGACGGTGGGCTGAGCCTGACTTCCCTGGGCTGAGCTATCCACCATGTGCCCTCTTCTCTGCAGAGTGGACTCAGGTGAGGGATTCTGATCTACTGTATTTTGTCTCTACTGACTGTGTCCTGCACTAAATGCTTAAACTGATTATGTGGGAACGTAATGCAGAGCCACTGCCTGGGCCAGACAGTCCTGTGTGTGTGAAGTGGAATTAGTCCCACTCAGCACCTGGAGGTCACAGAGAATCACTTACATCTACACGCAGCTGCACAGATGCTTCCTGAGCCCGAAGGTCTCTAGTTAAGGTCTGCAGGATGTAGAATCCTGTGTCCTCCTGGGAGACTTTCTGGAGCAGCAGGGATCCATTGGGGTATACTGTCTCTCTGCCAGTGTAGTCAGGCCCTGGGACAAGTATGTCAGGGTCTATCACATACACTGCAATCTGGTGGTTGTCCAAAGCCTGACCCCCTTTGTACCAGATATAGCTTTGAATATTCCAGGGCACATTATGGACATGTAGAAGAACGTTCTCCCCTTCAATAGCATTGGGAGGCACAGGTTCAATAGTGATTTGTGCTGTGGTGGGTGAGTTCCAGAAGGTCAGAAGTGAAGCTGGGAGGGAGGAGAGAAATAAGTCAATATGGGGACCTTTGTATGGGGTGGAAAGATGGGCCTCAGGTCTTTAACAAGCCTTGGCATGTTTAAACTTTCCACTTGCCTATGTCAAAC